TAAATTAACTACTAACGACGACGACTAAATAAAGTTAAAGTTAAGTAAAGTACGACCGACCACGACGACGACGTCGATATAGTACTAACTTTAGTACTACTCTCTCTCTCTCTCTCTCTCTCTCTCTCTCTCTCTCTCTCTCTCTCACACACACACACACACACACACACACACACAAATGTCATATATTGACAAGAATAGGGTTTCTCATAAAACGTTATGATGGAAAGCGTCGTTTCCTCTTCACTCACTCATGTATTTTCTTCACACACCCAAAAAAAGCTCCAAACAGAGCATAAAAAGCATGGAAACTAAGGAAACTACCAATTTCAGCAAAAAGTGATTGGATAAGCAAGATATCATGCTATTCAAGAAGTAAAATAAAATGTATACACATTAGATCAAAAATATCATGGTTTTTGAGGGGAGACCTTCAATTCTTCACCATTAAAATTTCCCAGAATGCTTTGAAGTTCCTCTTGGGTCACTAGAGAACAATCCCAAACCCTAATTTCAGATGGGCACCCACTGAAAAGCAGCCCCATAATATTTGAATTCATTTTCCGAGACTTGTGGGCTGCTTTACTGAACTTATTCCTGAACAATTCAGGAAAATTCGACCAATTTTCCAGGGAAGCAACGGCTTCCAAATTCTTGCTCAAAGCCCCAAAACATAGTTGTTCCAGCGATGGGGGCTTCGAGACCCGGGCTTCTTGTTTATTAGAAGGAACCCAGTTGATCAAAGAGGGCCCTGAGGTTTTACGGCTAGCAAGCCTCTGTTTTCGAGCTTCCAGTTCAGTTTCTCTCTTATCCAGAAGGTCATAGGCTGTACTGAAAGGCCCTGGCCAATTTTCTTCTCCTTCTTTGTGATCTTCTCTTTCTACTTCTTCTATCTCTGGTTGGAATCGAGCGAATCTCTCTGCAACTGAACGAGCAACTTGACGATTTGCTTCTCTCCTTGAATTCCATTTGGGATTATCAAACAGAATTTCATTTTCATTATTTGAACCATCAATCCATGATTCTTGTCGTATCTGCTCGTGTTCTGGTTCATCTTCGATAAGAATCACAAGTGGATTATCAATGGCCTTGCCCAAAACTGAACCACTGTGGATATCCTGGTTTTGGCTTCTTTCATTCTCTTGATTAAAATGAGTGAACCCAGGAAAACTTACAGCAATGTGGCCTGAATCTGATATAGCTTTCCCTTTATCTCTAGACCTTTTGGGCCTTGTTGAGCATGAACCAATGTGGCCTGAATCTAATACAGCTTTCCCTTTATCTCTAGACCTTTTGGCCCTTTTGGAGCATGAACCACTTGTTTCTGTAACATCATCAACTGGTTTCTCAAATCCTGATCCTCCATTTTTCTGTTGATTTTCCAGTCTCTCTTCAAACTCTTTCACATTTCTAGCAATTTCAGAAAGAGTTCCTAAGGAATTCAGAGACTCCACACCTTTCGTCTCCAACAATTCAGAGCCAGATAAATTTTGATCCCAAGCTTCTTCCTTTCTCGATTTCTTTAGGCGCTCATTTGAATCTTGAACCAGTAATCTCTTAACACCCGATTTCTTGGTACTTTCATCGCCATTATATATGTTATCTCGTCCATCCAAACCTAACTTAGGAGCAAGCCTTGCACTCTTCCTAACTGGTTTAGAACCAGAGCAGGTGGAAAACCCAATCCCTAACGCTAACCATGATCCTGAACTCGTATTATCTTTCTCCTCATCAGGGCCAGCACTCAAACCTGACCTTGACTCTAAGTTTCGCCTTGCCCTCCGCAAGAAAGGGCCGCTGATTGTATAATTGCCATTAGGGCTAAGGCCAAGCCCTAACCCTGATTCTGACAGGGAAGAAGGGGATGCAGCATGGGTTCGGAGCTTCTGGTCAGGTTGGACTGGCGTCATTGGTTCAATCTTAGGGTTTGGAGATTCTTTTACAACGGCTTCTGTAATGGTTCCTGATCGCAACACCGGCATGGTATTTAGGCGCAGGAAATGCCTGATGAGGAGAGAGAGAGAGAGGAGAAAATGAAAGGATGAGAGAGAAATAGATGAAAATGGCTCAAGAAAGATAGAGAGCAGGATGATTAGAGAGAGAGTGTGAAGGGTCTTGATTGTAGAGAGAGAGTAGGGTTTTGAGTTTTGAGAGAAAGAGAAATGGAGGGAGCAAAAGGACCGTTAGTGTCCTAAAACTTCTTCCATACGCAATCTTTCCCGGGCTTTTATGTTTCCCGCGAATCTTTTACAAGTCGAATCAAAACGTTAGGGATCCCCAATTCTTACAACCGGATTGGCGGGGCATATCATATACCCACCAATTGGTGTCCGAATCACAGATCCAAAAATTTTCAAATAAAATAAAATAAAATTTGGGGATTTATAGAGGACCTAAAAGTACATTAGATAATTATAAAAATGTGTTTTAAGGGGATTTCAAGGGAGGCTCGGAACCCATGCTATCACAACATTGGTTTGGTCCTGACTGGATTTCTGTCTGGATTGACAATCCGGATTGAAAATCATTGAGTTTTAAAATGCTGATTTGGTATAAAAATTATGCAACCTACTGGAATGTACTTGTCTTTATTTTTAAAAGATTTATTTGTAATTGAAGAGCAATTAGACTTGATAATATTTCTGGAGTATAAATTTTTATAATTAAATATAAAAATATATTTTCAAGCCATCCTAAAAATTTCCTAACACCTAAATTAGGTGTTATGATAAAATTTGGAGGTATGCCTATCGTTTAAGGTCGCAACCTTATACAAACTACACTCAACTTTTAATGGTATTCTCCCTTTCTATATACGGCTGTCATTTTCTCTCATTACTCACTAGTCTTTCTCTCACATTCATAAATTAAAGCCTCATTATCTTTGTTCTTTGTTTTCTTTACGCATTTGTTTCTCACCTCTTCTCTTATTTTCTCTCTCTAAAAATCTTCCTTCCATTTCATATTTGTTTGTTGATAACTTGGAAACCTCTCACCTATTTTCCCATGTCTGGGAAACAACAATGAGGGTCCACACTACACCAACTTTGCAGTCTTTACTCACAGGCTACTACTTCTCTCTCTAGTCTTCCATTTCTCCCTCTAAAATTACAAAATTTTGATCTTATTTGTTTTGGTTATTGATTGTCTCCCTCTCTATCCATTCAATCCTTGCCCAAAAAACCATTTAATTGAAAAGCTCTGAGTTTCGAACCCCTGATTACATATTTCTTATTGTTCATTTAGGAGGTCTATCACTTGAGGATTTCAATGAATTCCAAAACCTTGTCAATGATAGAGAGACACAGAAATCTTAAAAAATTTATGAATAATTTGAACAAAAGAGATTTGATAGGAGCAGTCTCCTCTATTTTCTCATACTCACTGGAAGGTCAAATAATCATTTTCTCCCTCAAAATTTTGTGTGAACTCTCAGGCCAATTTTATCTTTTCCTTATCAAGGCTGACGATTTGTGTTGTAAATTTGTGATTTTGATTCGTGTAATCTAGAGATAAAATTGTGGTTGCAGGCATCGAACTCTCAATCTGAAAGAGAGAGAGCTCGCAAATGCAAAAAGAAGATGAAAATCTGAAAAAGGATATTATCAGATCACTTAAGGCCTACGCCTCACAAACAGTGTCGCATCTCAAAATTCATGCAGTTATATGGGTTGAAAATTCCAACCTTGATTATGGAATTTGAATCTTAAAAACTAGTTCAAATGTGATTGATCTATGAACACCTGAAAATAGACCGTTGAGGTAATGTATTACAAGATACATTATTTTGAAGGCTTGAAATTGGTTTTATTTTTTTTCAAAAACATAATTATCAAGTTGCTTAGATCAATTTGAGGGTTTTCTAACACCAAAATTGCAATTTTTGATGAAAATCCATATGGATCAGTCGTTTTTCTCAAACCCACAATTTCCAAAGAGAAATTAAATCATAGGAAGGGCGCTTTCCCTCAACTTTAAGATTGATGTAACAAAGATCACACTTGGAACAAATTGGGAAATCCCTGTAAATTTGAAGAATATGAGAAAAACCTCCAAAGCATAAATCACAGCAAGATACATTGAGATGAATTAAGAAGTTAACCTCCAAACAATGAAGCCATTTGTTTTTTGTTCTCATACCCAATTGGGGTCTTTCACCACCCAATCAATTCAATGAAAGGTGTGGTAAAAGAATGAAGAAAACAAATAACTCAGCAGTAGACAACTCGGAGAGTTACCCCAGCAAAAGAGAGAGAGAGAGAGAGAGAGAGAGAGAGAGAGAGAGAGAGAGAGAGAGAG